AGCAGCACTGGCACCAAGCTGCCAGAGCACTCAGGCTTCCCAGCAGCCCAGGGCTCAGGAGGAGAGGGTGGCAGTGAAGAAAGAGCCGCTCAGGGAAGGGCAAGCACTGGTGCTCCCTGGTAGGGCTGCTGTGCTCTTTGCCCCTCTACCTCTGCCCACAGGCACTGCCCCTGCACCTCCACAAAAGGGCTGGCAGGAAGGATCTCAGGCAAACAAATCACTGTAGGATCCTTTATTTTATATAAATGCACAGAGATTGTGGCTCACAAAAGTCTCTGTGTTAAACAAAACTGATAGATATAGATGCAGCAATGCTGGGACTAATGACAAGTCACAATTAAAAGTAGAAAAAAATCATAATAAATTACAAGGTAATGACAAGATAAAACGAGGACAAATGCTAGAAAAATATCCTGGGCCCAGAAAGATTTACACTATGAGTTACGTAGAGAAGACATTTACACTTTTTTTCCTCCAAAACAATACCTTCATTAGTTTCCTTAGGGCATCCTTGAGCTCCTGGTTCCTCATGCTGTAGATGAGGGGGTTCAGTGCTGGAGGCACCACTGAGTACAGAACTGCCATGACCAGGTCCAGGGATGGGGAAGAGATGGAAGGGGGCTTCAGGTTGCTAAACATGGCAGTGATCAAAAAAATAGAGACCACGGCCAGGTGAGGGAGGCAGGTGGAAAAGGCTTTGTGCCGTCCCTGCTCCGAGGGCATCCTCAGCACGGCCCTGAAGATCTCCACATACGACAACACAATGAAAACAAAGCAGCCAAATGCTAAAGCAGCACTAAGCACCATAAGCCCAGTTTCCCTGTGGGAGGATTGTGAGCAGGAGAGCTTGAGGATCTGGGGGATTTCACAGAAGAACTGGTCCAGGGCATTGCCCTGGCAGAGGGGCAGGGAAAATGTATTGGCCGTGTGCAGCAGAGCATAGAGGAACCCACTGGCCCAGGCAGCTGCTGCCATGTGGACACAAGCTCTGCTGCCCCGGAGGGTCCCGTCGTGCAGGGGCCTGCAGATGGG